TATATATATGAATACATAGTAGACGTCTAGAAATAGAAGGATGTTCACCAAGTTGCACCAAATCTCCTAGCCCTAACGAATAAAGGAAGTAAAAAATTTTATTCGATCTTTCAAAAAAAGTAGAATTTACTTCAATAAGTACTTCCTTAATTTTGGCGTAAACTCAATCCATAAAGATCTGCCAAGAATTCCTAACGTTCGTAAACTCAATCCATAAAGATCTGCCAAGAATTCCTAACGTTATCATGTGGCTATCAGGTCAGCACAGTATAAATAGTCAATTGTCATGCGCGAAAGTAAATCATTAACTAAGAGACATAGAGCATTGTAAGTCCTGGTGCAGTTATTTGATTTGATTTGTTGAGAGAACAGTTTGATCATTTGTGGGAGTATGTACCAACTATGCAATAAAATTAAGAGTGTTTTCCTAAACTCCCAAGTTATACTCCACGGAAAGCAAACGAGTTCTTTCGTATACTTTCCCTTCTAATTTACTAGGGAAGCTAAATGCTACTTGTGCTAGCTATGCAGCAGAAAAGCATGTCAAAAATAGTTATTTTTTTTCCTAGCATTAACTTCCAGATATCTTATTTTAATACTAGCACCATATAAGTAATAATTAACCAAGATTCTGATCTGTTTAGCAAATCCAAGCTACGGATTTGAGCTATGACACAGTTTGTGTGGCTGCTATAAGCAGTGACAAACTACCATTGAAAAATTCACAAAATAGCAGTTTTTTCAGCTTATTTAAATATTAATCAAGCTAGTGGTAACTTTAAAAACAAAATTAAGCTATGAATTTTGAGCTATTACACTGTTTATGGCTGCCACGACCAGTAATAAATGGACAAATTCATAAATTGGCTGTTGTTTTCTGCTTATTTAAATGTTATTCTAGTTGGCCGTTGAGATTAGTAGCCTTTATTATTATTATTGTTTCTTCATTTTCTTCATCAGTCCACAACGACGGAAAAAAATACACACACACAAACGTGATGTGATTCAATAAACATTCAATAAAAAATTTATTACAATTATGTCAATTCCAAGAAAATTTTAACAATCTCAAATTGAAGACCCCATAATTGTACTCTTTGACAATATCTACTTGCAAAATAACATCCTTTTTTTGGTCAAGAAACATTATCCATATAGAGGCATATTCCACTTTAAAAATGATAAGTCAAACACAACCATGGTAGGTCTATTTTATACAACTGAATATGTACAATGAACTAGAGAACTACAACTATGTTTTGTAAGGTAGAAAATATTATTTAGGAAGATGATTTCCTTAATGAAATCAATTTCTAGTATTCGGTAACTTTGAATTGTTGAAATTATTTGTGAGATATTTTTCACCAAAAAGAAAAACGACATATGTACATATACGAAGAAATCATAGCTTAAATGATATCTAGGTCTTGCTCCATATCACTACGTCAATCAACACTTAAAACATTATTATCAACAAAACTAAAAATTATCATCATATCATGTTCTTCACCCTATACATTAATAATATGTAACATGCTTTTACACCTAATGAACATCGTAAAATGATTAAAAAAAAAAAACTTCCATACCAAATAAAAGATGTATTATTACAACTTAGGTTTTGGTTTTCTAGCTCCTCGGAATTTGATAAATCAATTGGCATATAATATTAGTCTAAAATGAGCTTAAATAAAATAATATTATCAGTAAGAATTCATATAGCCGATCCCAACTTAAATTTGGGAAGACTCGTAGTTATTGGCATAAAATAACCGTGAAAACATGTAGACTGATGACTCTTGTAAATATGGTCAATAGTCATAATATTTAGTCTCTCTCAACAGACAACAATATATCTATCATGCCCATTTTTGTAAATGAATTCCTAAAAGGAGAATCTAATTGAAAGCAATATGGATGCCATTCCTCCTGTTTAAAGGCCAATGATACTACTTTAATCTAGTGGAAGGAACTGTTTCTTTTGTTAACTTTTAATTACTTAATTACAATCATTGATAAGAAAATCTATTTTATTTTCAACATTATATTCTTTTGGCTCTTATAGTCTCAGAAGTCAGCAGGGGATTCCTCTTCCTATATAAGGAGAATAAAAGCAAAGAAAGCTGCCAACTTACAAACAACATATCTTCTTTATTATCTTAGAGAAATGGAAAAGAAAAATGTTGAGATAAAGATGGGAGAATCAGTAGAAATTGATGAGCAAAAATGGGTTTATGACTCTTCAGTTGATTACAAAGGAAGAGTTCCTCTCAGAGCTTCAACTGGTGGCTGGAAAGCCTCTTTCTTGATTATTGGTAAGATTTCATCTAACAAATGTCACATGCACACAAAAGTTTCACTTTCCTTTATCTCTCAATGATCAAGAACAAAAAGTAAATAATTCAGTTTGTTTTAAGCTGCAAAGTTATATATATATATATATATATATATATATCTTATACTCCATTCACTGATCGTATAAATGAATTTTTAGACAAACGGTGGAAATTGACATGTTGTAGAAGGTTACTTGATTATGATTACTTTTAATCTGATTTGATAGTACAAAAATATTTTACGCTGTCGATATATAAAACCATTTTTATTAGGGAAAAAGACTTTTGCAAAAAAAATATAGGATAAAACTGACTACAATAGACCCTTATGTGTGGTCCTTTTTTCGAAACCCACATATAGCATAAGCTTAGTAACTTAGGGCGGTGAAACTACTTTGAAGGAGGAACCAAGTTTAGTGTGTTTACTTTATGAATTTGCTGATGTTTGGTCTTTATTGGCAAAGAAAGGTCTCCACATAAAAAGACTTCCAGAAAATATTACCTTCCATTAGTCAGGCAAGGGCTGGGCTCTGAACTTTGTTGTGATTGATACCAGCATTTGAAGTACTAAACGGTATAGGTGAAGCTAGAACTTTAATTTTATGGGTTATGAATATTAAAATAATTACTTAAGTATTAATAATTGGATTCTAAATTTAATTTTTGTATATATTCAATGAATTTCTTAACTTAAATATACAATTTAAACAAAAATTACCGCGTTCGATCGAACCCGTACTTGAGCTTCTAGCTCCGCCCCTGTTAAGCAAAACAGCAACAGATAGGTACTACAACAACAACACAGTGTAATCCCACAGGTAGGGTCCGGAGATAAGGAATCATATTCATATATCTTAAAAATCTTCTCCTTTAATATCTTTTTATTTTATTTATATAGAGCTGATTATCTGTAGTCAGTTCCTTAAACAGAAAGCTATTGACATGGTCTAGTAGAGTTTGATGGTTTTTCTTTTAATTTCCTAAAATGTTGCATTCAGGTGCTTCTTTCTGTTAAACCCCTTCATATACTACATCCAGTCGATTTTAAACTTGTTTAAGGTTTTAATACATCTATTGAAAGATTATTTTAATAGCACTAAAGATTTATTTTGGGACTAAATTACCTTATATCTCTCCTCAGAATGAGTAATAATTGCTGCGAGACTTTTTAGAAAATTGTATAGACCGTGTATTAAAATAATAAACCTTCTTGATTTTCTAAAGCAACACTTATTTTGAAATATATTTATTTGACTAAAACGACTTATAAAATGGACTGGCGAGAGTATTAAGATTAATAAAAGAAGAATTAGGGGCCCATAAACTTGATTAATCAGTGGTTCTCTGTCAGTGAAAAGAATATTACCTTTTTGAGAAAAGTCCCTATGTAATGAGAACCACTAAACAGTTCTATGGTCACTTTTTTGGCACTGTAGACTGTAGTTATCAAGATATACACTTTTTCATAACTTGATAAAAGTTTGGTTAAGTGGAAAGTAGCACATAGCCAGGGTATATAACTCATTGGTTCTCTGTAACATACTACTACTCTTTTTATAGATAATTCTCAAGAACTGTATTCACAGCATAAATTCCAAAACTAGACTCCTACAATTGCCTAGATTCTACCCAAGTGGTCCACTACCTAAGACATAACAACAACAACAACAACAGCTCAGTATAATCTCATTAGTGGGTATGGGGAGGATAATGTGTATGCAGACCTTACCCCTACCCTGGGGTAGAGAGACTATTTTCGATAGACCCTCGGCTCCCTCCTTCCAAGAACTCTCACCTTGCTGTTGGGGTGACTCGAACTCACAACCTCTTCGTTAAAAGTGAAGGGCGCTCACCACTAGAGCAACCCAATACCTAAGACAATGAATATTTATGACCGCAATAAATATAATATCTTAATAAGTGAAAAACATAGCTAATGGCCACTAATAGCCTAGCTTGATCAAGCTTCTTTTTTTTTATTTTTTAACAAAAGTATTTTTTTTTTGTACAAAGTGTGCTGGGATGCGATTCGCCAAGCTGGGTAAAACTTTCCCCTATCTCCAAAGGGATTCGACTCAATACTCTTTTTTTCGGAGTTAAGGTTTTGACCAACCTTTTAGAAGGGGGAAAAAAATTGAGTAGAAGTAGAATTTTTTTTTTGAGAAGCACAAAAAAATAACTTTTCCCAAAAGCACTTTGCTGAAAAATATTTTTAATAAAAATACATTTAGAAGTACTTTTTAAAAGTTTGGCCAAATACTAATTACAAAAGTGCTTTTTAAATTAATTAAAATTGATTTACAAAGTTCTCTCTGTTCTTTAATTTTCAGGGTATTATATTTTTATTTTCTTGAATACATGATGTATTATACATCTTATATCCTTTATTACTATTATGTAATTGGAGAAAAATAATGAGTTGTGTTTGAATGTAACAGCAATTGAATTCAGTGAAAGGCTGAGTTACTTTGGAATAGCCACAAGTTTGATTATATACCTAACTAAGGTTATTCATCAAGACCTAAAAACAGCAGCAAAAAGTGTGAATTACTGGACAGGTGTCACCACTTTGATGCCATTACTAGGAGGGTTTGTTGCTGATGCATACTTGGGCAGATTTTACACAGTTCTTGCCTCGACCACTGTCTATCTCATGGTAATCACAATATTTGTCCACAAAAGAAAGATTCATTTCTGTATTTGAAAACTTTTTAAGTTTAACTTTCTAATTATATCCTTAATAAAATGTTGTTATAGATCATGACATGTATAAAACTATAAGTTTTAAGAATACTATTAATATATGTCAAACTTGAGTGTTCGGTCAAATACCATAGTATAAAATAAAACGGAGAAACATTGTGATCAAATTATAACTTTGCTATACACAAATTGTGATACCAAATCATCATTTGCTATGAGACAACTAAAAGATATCTCTCTTACCTGCTGTTTGTTAAACAGGGCTTGCTTCTGTTGACAATGTCTAGTGTGGTACCAAGCTTGAAACCTTGTGGAAGTGACATCTGTCAAGAACCTAGAAAAATCCATGTAGTGATCTTTTTCTTTGCTATCTACTTAATCTCAATTGGAACAGGAGGGCACAAGCCTTCTTTGGAAAGCTTTGGAGCTGATCAATTTGATGATGATTATCCTAAAGAAAGAAGAAAGAAAATGTCTTTCTTCAATTGGTGGAGTTTTGGACTTTGCTCTGGTGTTTTACTTGGTGTCACACTTATTGTTTATGTACAAGATCATGTTAGTTGGGGTATAGCAGATTTGATCCTTACATTAGTTATGGCTTCTAGTCTAGTCATCTTCTGTGTAGGCAGGCCATTCTATCGTTATCGAAAAGTCACTGAAAGTCCCTTAACTACAATGCTACAAGTTATTGTTGCTGCAACTAGAAAAAGAAATCTTCCACATCCTTCTAATCCTGCTTATTTACATGAAACTCAAAAGTCAGAAGCTAATCGAAGGAGGCTATGTCATACCAAAAGCCTCAAGTAAGTTTTCAACTTAGTCTTGAATTGATTTGATTATGATATTAGTATATATATGTTATCTTTTGCTAGAAGATGAGCGAGTTGCTATCATGTGACAAAAAGGTCACGGGGTTCGAGCCGTGAAAATAGCCTCTCGCAAAAATACAGGGTAAAGTTGTGGTCCGACCATTCCTCGGACCCTGCGCATAGCGGGAGCTTAGTGCACACTTTATTAGTATATATATGTTACCTTTTGCTATTTTACTTGTAGGTTTCTTGACAAAGCTGCAGTCTTTGATGAGACACAAGATACAATAGTGCAAAAGCAGAATCCATGGAAACTTTCAACTGTAACCAAAGTGGAGGAACTGAAACTACTTATCAACATGACACCAATTTGGCTAACCACTTTACCATTTGGTATTTGTATAGCACAAGCTTCAACATTTTTCATCAAACAAGGCGTGACACTTAACCGAAAGATCACTCACAATTTTGATATTCCACCAGCTTCAATGTATGGCATTGGAGCTATTGGCATGATAGTAACTGTCACTATCTACGACAAAATCCTCGTACCTATCTTAAGAAAGGCAACAAGAAATGAGAGAGGCATCAGTATTCTTCAAAGAATCGGTATTGGAATGATGTTCTCGATTATAACTATGATCATTGCAGCTTTGGTTGAACGAAAGAGACTAAGAATTGTTGAGAAAAATCTACTTGAGGGTTCAATTTCAATGAGTGTGTTTTGGTTAGCACCTCAGTTTTTTCTCGTTGGTATAGGAGATGGATTCGCGCTAGTGGGATTGCAAGAGTACTTCTATGATCAAGTACCTGATACAATGAGAAGTTTAGGCATTGCATTTTACCTTAGTGTAGTTGGTGCAGCAAATTTCCTAAGCAGCATGTTGATCACAATTGTGGATCATATCACAGAAAAAAGTGGTAAGAGTTGGTTTGGAAAGGATCTGAATAGCAGCAGACTGGACTACTTCTACTTGTTGTTAGCTACTATAACAGCAGCGAGCTTGTGCATCTATGTCTTTGTTGCAAGGAGCTATTCCTACAAGAATGTACAAAGCAAGAGAACTGCGGATGTGGCTAATTGCCAAGATGGGGATGATCGCGAAGCAATGGCTTAGAAATTTGATCTCTAGTACATTAGTAGTACTAGTATTGAATAAGTGAAGTTGTCAAGCTGAGAAAGCAAAGTTACCATGTATCATATTTTGATAACTTAGAAGCAACAAAACTCCTTTCTTAGAAGTTTAATCCTAGTACATTTACTAAATTAATACAGTCTTCAAGCTGAGAAAGCAAATTGTTGGCGTGCAATTAGTTACCCTGTATTGTTCACATAAGTTAGGACTTAGGAGTAGAAGATCCTTTCTTTTTCCCCCAGATTTACACTGTCAACTTTTATCTGTTTTAGTATATGCCAGTGTAACTCTGGCTAAGGCCCGGACAGTATAGCTGAATCATTTCTGGGAGTTAAAATAGCACGGGGCTAGCCAGTTTTCGGACTGATAATTGAAAAATAGCCAGTGTTTGCAAAGTCATTAAAAAATAGCCACTATTTTGCTGCAACACGGAAAGTTCCAGCATAATATACTGGAGATTGGAGCACTTGTGTATGAACTTCCAACATATTATGTTGGAACTCCAGCACATTATGATATTCCAGTATGTTATGCTGGAAGTTAACATCTAAAAAATTCGAACTCCAACATATTATGCTGCAATATTTTCCGAATTTTGAACATGATTTTTGTTCAGATTTATGTTTACATGAAAAGCGGCTAAATTTTGATTACTTTTGAAACTTTAGCTATTTTTTAATTACCAGTTGTAAATTTGGCTATTTTTGAATTTCACCCTTTCTCAGATTGACCATCACCTCATTATGGGCTAGTCAACAATAATTGGGCCCAAGTTAAAGGCCTTTGATCCTTTAGTTAACCAATGACCCATAGTCCATAATCGTGATATACCAGAATTTATGTGTCATGAGTTATGACCTTACCTTAAGACATTAGACAGAAATGTTTAACCACCACCAGCAGCTATTGACCTGAGGTAGATTTAGGATTTCTAATATATGGGTGCACTACAAAAAAAAAAAAGAAAAAAATATATTAAGTGGGAATTGTATTCCTCTTGGTAAATAATTTAACCTCCAACCAAGTGAACCATTCAGTTTATTTGGAACATGAGTGCCAACAATTAATATTATACTAATTTAAAAAATATATATACATAAAATACCTAATTTTACAGAAAGACCATGAATTCACGTGCCTCGTAACTTTTTCTATAAATTCCCTACTATTGACTTTGTGTATGACGAAGTAGGACTATTACTATCAAGATCACAAATTCATTCTACGTACTATCAGTAGGATCCAATTGTAACAGGCGACACACTCGTACTCTAGAAATACATAAATAAAGAATTACACAATGAAACTATAAGAAAAAATGGACTAAGATTCGCAACTCTCAAATGATTCATTTTGGACTCAAAAGCAAGGATGGTACAATAGTCTATCAATAGAAAGAACAAAAGATTTCTGTAGCAAAAAATAATTAATGAATATGGTCAATGGTTAGCTAGTGGAACATTCAAAACCTAACAAACCAAGTACAAGGTAGGTGGTGACTATGAGGTACAGACATTTGGGCCTACAATCAGTCATATTGTGGGCCATATCCAGCTTGTAAAACTAGTTACACTCATTGGGCTTGTTATGGATCCATAGACATGTCCCTGTCGTCATTTTAACTTGTTGCCTTGACGACTTATCAGATTTTTCTATCCGGTCGAAATTAATTGCATTTTCTAGCTAAAAAATATATAACATATGTTTACTTTTTAAATATATAGGAACCAAGTTTATTGGATTAATTGTTCTGGTGATAGAACGGAACAACTGCGACGGCGCGAGGCACCACATCTTCTTAACTCTTTAAGAGTTAGAAAATGTGCTTCTCTATTTAAGCACAAAAATTTTCTTTCTATTTTTAGATAAGGGATAAAGTGCCTTAGTAAAAGGAACACTTCAAACTTTTCGTTTTCCTCCAAATCTTTTTTCTCCATTTCCTATTTACACCTCTTTATTTAACTAAATAAAAAACTTAACAATATGTTCTCATAGTCGTGAAAAAGAACCAATAATGTGACGTTTGTCATATGAATTCATGCATTTGCTTGAGAGCAAAAGATTCATGGTATTAAACTTACATGTGAAATAATAATTTCGTATGTTATGTAAAATCATTGCCAAAATAGTAGCTGCGTATGATCAGCTTTAATCCATTACGGTCAGTGGCGGAATCAGAATTTTCATTAATGAGTATCAAAAAATAAATAATTAGTTACATCGAAAAGTCAAGGGGAATCAATGTATAATAAATATACATAAAATATAAAAATCTATCTAGCGATATAGTGTAATTTTTCGACGAATGGGTGCCAATGCGGCTCCACCACTGATGACGGTGTGAGGATTAATTACTGCATTATTAGAATGTGCTATGACAAGAATAACTTTGCAAGTTGTAGGAATCCTAACTAGCTATATGGACATTGATGTGATTTCATGGTAAATTTGTTTAGTGAATCATGAACTGCATTTGTATTATACTCTCTTTTGATAGAAACAGTGATGTTTTTGATTTCCTTTCAAATCTTTAGGAAATTTGGACCGACAGTGCATTAGGCTCCCGTTATGTGCAGGATTCGCGGAAGGGTTGGAGCACAAGAGTCTATTGTACACAGCCTTATTTTTTATTTCTGCAAAAGACTGTTTTCACGGCTCGAATTTGTGATTTTCTGATAACATGGCAACAACATTTTAGGACCGGCATATGTACGGTCAGAACCGATTGAGTCAGTCGTACAGACTGATCGAGACGGCAATATTTCGATCGAAAGGTATCTACGTAAGGTCAGGTCGAGGTCCGAAGAAAGGGACTTCAGGATTCAAGCTCCAAGTCCGATCAAGGATCAGTTCGGTATCATTATCGGACCCATGACCAAATCGAACCACGAGGCAAAAGATTGTCGGAGATGCACAGACCGACCAACACCCACCCCGAATATCAAGACTCCGAGTCATGATCGAGCGCGAGTCAAGGCCAATGGCTCGACCCGATATCGAGTTCGAGTCAGTATTGAAGCTCACAGACAAGGCCGTTACATCCGTACTAAGGGAGAGAATCCTGGCGGGAAGTAGGCAAAAGACAATACATCATGGGCTCTCCACTACGTATTTTTTATTATTGTATATAAAGTAGGATCCCTCTACTATAAAAAGGATGGATAGATTGTAAGCAGAGACACATTGGAACAAAAGATTTCTTCTCATATTGAAAGATATCCCCTTGTATTTATTTCCCTTTATCTTATTCATTCTTCTTCTCACTATTCTCATTTTTATAGTCAAGAATACACGTATTTCTATTTCTCTATACGATTTGTATCAAATTATATCACATATCCTTAGAACCATACACAAATTTAACTCTATCCAATTTTTCGCGTAAACAGTTTGGCGCCGCCGTGGGGCTAAGGGTAACGGTGGTTGTTTGATACAAATCTGCAATACACACCAGTTTACAACTTCAAATCAACAATGGCAAACCCTCGATTGATGGCTTTACCTATCGACCACGAAACCGGCCTTCAAGATGAAACCAACAACTTGACACCCAGGGCCGGAAGGCGAATTAACGATGTCACCGAAGCTCGAGTCGAAGTACCGCTAGATGTCAATTCACAAGTGGCTCTTGAGGCGAACCAACGTTCCAAACCGGAAAAAAACATTCAGGGCGGTACTCGATCCGTAGCTCGAGACACCCATAACGTAGAGGAGATCGGAGTCAGCTTGCGGATGATCTTCGAGATGTTACAAGACCAGCAAATAGCGATAGCTCAGTTATAGAGCCAAACTCAGGTACAAAGCAGGCCGGGCCCCAATCCGCTTCGAGAAATCACCTACAGAACGAAACCAGCCATAGTGAAGTCAAATGAGCAAGAATCGAGGACTACTCCCGAAATTACTAAATTGCTCGAGGAACTCATAAAACGAGTCGAAGCCAACGATAAAAAAGTAGAATCATATAATTCTAGGGTTGATTAGATCCCAGGAGCTCCACCAATGATAAAAGGGCTAGATTCGAAAAAATTCATTCAAAAGCCTTTTCCCTCGAGTGCAGCCCCAAAACCAATCCCCAAAATATTTCGTATGCCTGAAATACCCAAATATAACGGAACGACTGACCCCAACGAGCACGTCACTTCTTACACGTGTGCCATCAAGGGAAATGATTTGGAAGATGATGAGATCCAATTTGTATTATTGAAAATATTCGGTGAAACCCTATCAAAGAGGGCAATGGTATGGTATCATAATTTACCATCTAACTCTATTAATTGTTTTCTATGCGTGCAGATTGCTTCGTAAAAGCACATGCCGGAGCCATAAAGGTTGAAACCAGAAAGTCGGACCTGTTCAAGGTAATACAAAAGGATAACAAGATGCTAAGGGAGTTCGTATCTCGTTTTCAAATGGAACGAATGGATCTGCCACCAGTCACCGACGATTGGGCTGTTCAAGATTTCACTCAAGGTCTAAACGAGCGGAGCTCGATGGCTTCACAGCGGCACAAGCAAAATCTGATCGAGTACATAGCTATTACTTGGACCGATGTGCACAATCGATATCAATCCAAAATAAGAGTCGAAGATGACCAGTTGATTTCTAGGTCCGTTACGAAAATAACTACCAAGCAAAAGTCGACGAGAGATCGATACCAGCCATATAGCAGAAACGATACTACTGCTGAGTATCCTAGGCCTCTTTAAAATCAACCTCGTATACTGGGGGGCTTTATCATTAAACGTATCTGTGATGATTACCTAGTTCGGTGCAAAGGAAGTTACTTCGTTATTTCATGACAAACAATGTCTCAACAGGAAACGTTGTAAGAGCCAAATGGTCAAATCGAACCATGCTTATGTAGTCTGCCCGAGCCCTGACGCAAAACATGAACACATGTATAATGACTTGCAAAGAAAGCCCTCTTCTTTACCAATATTCTATGTTCATGATTTATTATGCAAACAGGATCGAGTTCGAGCAAGCTCTCACTCGACCATTACACCTACGGGCTACATTATTTCGAGTTCGAGCAAGCACTCACTCGACTATTATGCCTACGGGCTACTTTGCATCGAGATCGAATCATTCACTCAACTGCTAAGCCTACGGGCTACTTTTATTTCGAGTTCGAG